AGCAGTAGCTTTCCCCCACAGTACCGTAACTGAGACCAGCCTGACACTGACTGTGATCCATTAACATCAGCTTAAATGAGATAGGGAAAGGGATGTGTGTTTGTTGTGGAGATTATGAACAGTAATAGATTCTTTCTGGGGACTGTCAATCACTCCTGAGATTTACCTGTACTAAGCTTTGGGCTTTAAATTTGTGATCAGTGGTGGTAACACTAAACTCCACTTAAGGCAATGCTCAGAGGCCCTGTTAGAAAGGTAAGAGAGATTTTTTACTCCCTGGCTTGTTTTTAGCCTTCGTGATGAGTCTGCAAGGGAATCTGCCAGGCTATACAGGGTCTGAGTCCTCTCCACAGTGTATCATCTCTTTCCATCCACTGGACATCTCTTGCTATTGATCTGTTTCTTCTTATCTCGGTCTGTCTTGCTGGCATTTGAAATGCCATGGGAATTTCCACAGGGCCTTTCAGCCCTGTATTCATAGTTGTGTGCCAAACCTAAATCAAGGCTGCAGATAGGACTACTCATGGAGAGCTGATCTCCTGAGTTCCTTTATGTGCTGGAGCTGGGATTCTGCAGGACCACAGCAGGGAGTTACAGTGAGACCAGGCTGCGTGCAAGCCTGCAGCCAGCCCAGCTCCCAGCTGTGGATCCCGACAGCCTTCCCTACTACCCCATGGGGCTATGCTGCACTTGGCAGAGCACCCCATCTCTCAGCATGCAGTATCTAATTCTCTTTGCTTCCTAGCCCTCTGGCTGCCTGCTTTCAGCCATTGCTGCATATACTGAGCTATGCTGCAGCCTTTCCCCATCCCATCACCCAGCATTAATCCCCAACAGCTGCCCCATGGAGAGTTCTTGAGGAAACCTCTATCTTCCCTGCCATCCCACACAGACTGTGCCTATGGCCCTGCCTTTATAGACCCTGTAAAGGCCTCCCTCCCAGTCCTGCCTACGCTGGCTCTTCTGGATCTACACCCACTATTCAATGCAACAGTGAAGTCCCCATCCCCTGGAAACTGAGAGACGACCTTTTCTTGTTGTGGGAAGGTAACATTTAAAGGCATCCCTTGGGCTACTCTATCTGGCAGCCCAGCTGGTGCTCTTTTGTGTGAGTGCCACTCTTTTGAAATGCCAGCTCTGGTCTTAAAGGCAGCCAACAGAAGGTACGGCTCACTCTCCTTGTAATTGATTCCTCATTGCTAGTCAGCGGCCTTTATTCTATCTTTTGATTAGGAAGAAGGAATAATACAGATTACAAGACAAAGATTGCCTTGTATGGGGACAGGTTACAACAGGGTTGCTGATGTCCTGGGATTTCCCTTGTGTTTGTCTGTCTCTGGTCAGCTGGAGAGATTTAGCAGCAGATAGATGGCCTGTCTTTGTGTGTGCCTCACCAGCAGGTGCCCTTAGGAAATGCCAGATGGGGGAGATGGGGAAGGGGTGATAATGACAGGAATACATAACAAAACTGCTCAATTGGATTTGGACTCTGATACAGGAAACTAGGTATGATTTTGCATAAAATGAGGCAAAACAGGTGGCTGCAAGAGCTGGTGCTGGAGGACATCCCAGATTGGCCTTTTACACATCTACTGCTGGAGGCGTAGGGGTTGGTGAGCAGGTCCCACTTTGGTTCTTCTTTAGTTTGTGCCATTGGAAAGGCAGATGAGCTCAGGCACTTCTGTTCTCTTGTGTCTTCTCACTCAGGTCTCATAAAATATTTGCTGTGTTCCTGAGTTCCCCCCTAAGCGAGTGGGTGTTACTGTCCTTGATTATCATCATCCTATTATGTCAGCAGACACAAGCAGGCAAAAGCAGTTTACTAAGGTTCACGTGGCAAGTCACTTCAGAGCTGTGAATGAGTTTCTCACATCCCACACATGCGTGGACCATGCATTGGTCACCTCCTGCAAAGTGGGATTTTGATATGTAGTCTGTGCTCTAGGAGGGGCATCTTACAAGCATCAGGTGGCTGGTTAGGTCTGAACTTGTGTGACATGCTGGAAGCTACATGGGAAGTAAATATGGTTAATAAGGCATGAGATAGGTATTGGTAGATTGCACAGAGGTAAGTGTGGGCAGGTGTGAATTCACCAAGATCAAGAGCTACGGATGTCAATATTTACATAGGCTTCACTTCCCTTTTTAGCCTGGGACTTAATCTGTGGATTTTCATGACTGTAAGTGGGATCCTGGAACAACACTTGATTTTAAGGCAGTGGGCTGAGCCCAGAGTTTTCCCTTGGAAAACACAGAGCTCTGCAGCACTCGTTCCATCACACAATTGGCTTTCGAAGCAAGAGTGGAAAACGGAGATAAAGAAGCTCTGAGCAACTGGAAAGGTGACTTCTGAGATTTCTGTAGTCCAGGACTAAAATGTTTCATGGATCTGCCTGGAGCTCAGACCTGAAGGTTCATTTCCAGGTACCCCATTTACTGGCTACATGCCCTTAAAAACTTGGCTGGTAGCTTTTGGCAGACTGACACATGGTAGAAGGGAATAAATTAGAAGATCTGGTTAATCTTTAACATCTACAACACTGTGGACACAGCTGGGATAGAAGCTTCATCCCTGTTTAGTTCCACCTCTTGGAGTCTCTGCCATGGCTTCCAGAAGCACATTCCCAGGGACAGCGTTGCTGGAAAAGGAAGGTGTTGTGGTTCTTTCCCAGCCTCAGGCAGGCTCTGTGATTTATCAGGGATTGCAGGTATGGCTATGAGATCTAACTCCCCTTCACAACTCTGATTTGCAAGACAGGGACATGCTGTTCATTTGGTTTGACCTTCAGTTTTCCTTGCGTAGACAGGGGTGGTGAGACGCTGCATGTTGTGGGTAGGTAAGGGAGCTTCTTTTCCAATTGCAAACCATTTGAAGAATGTCTGCTAATATTTGGTATTGTTCTATTAGGGAATTCAGGGCCCAAAAGGTTGAAATATTTTTCCTGATGCTCCAAGGACATGTAGCTGTCAGCCAGGATAGGCTCAGGCTTGGTCTGGGTTTAGGCCAGGCATTCACAGCCAGTGCTCTGGGGATACTAATTTGCATTCCAGATGCTTCCCTGGTTCTCTTTCTATCTCACCTTGACTTTTTTCCCAGTGCATCAAAGTTCATTTGCTGCCTGACTTGTCCCAGTGCTGCCCAGAGTGGCAGATCCTATCCGCAAGTTCCCACATGAGGGTAGAATAGGCAACAGTTAGTTTTAATGCTTATTTGCTAGCAGCTTCATAATAATTCTTCATTCACTCTCAATTCCCCATCCTCACCAGCTCTGATGTCTGTAACTAGCTTCTCTGCATTGATATTGATCAATAGGGTTATGTAGTTCCTGCATGGACCATGAGTTTGGTCAAGGGCCTCCGTGAGGACTAGGTATCCTTCTTAGACAGACTTTCCCTTGTAGGAAGCTCCTAAAGGGCAGGGCAAACCCTATAAGAAACCAACAGCTCAAAGCTGGTTTTGCTGGAGACTCCCATAGTGACTTCTCATCCTTGGCACTGTGTTCCAAGGAGGGAGATCCCACCCACTTATTTCTGTCTCCCCAGGGTTGTGCAGTGCCAGCTGGTCTCAAAAGAGAGAGAAACAAATTACTTCACTCCTTTGTCTTGGGTTGTGGTGTGCATCCCAAAATGGGTGCCACTGGGGAAGGGAATTGGGTAAATTCTCCGTGTCCCATCAGGCCTTCATCTAGTTTTCTCAGCTTGACTTGTTGCTAACACGTGTGAGTATTTCCAGGCACAACATGCCACTCTTTCATCAGTTCACTAAATTACACGCATATTTCATTCTTTTAACCTTTTATTGTAAGTCAGCCATTCAGAATCTAAACATTTCATCATCTTTATTATGCACCTCTGAACTCCCTGTGATGTATCTCTTGCTTTCTGACAGCCAGGTACTTGATGGGGATACTTCCAGGTCCCTGTCCTTTACACAGTGGTGTGCCAAGAATGAAGAATTTCAGGGGATCATGCAGAAGGGAGATTATACAGGAATCTCTTTCACTGCCTCTTCTCCTGACCCCTCACTTCTGCCTCTCAGTAGGGCATACCTGGCCAGAATGCAGCATCCCAGGTGCAGACAGACTATGGACATATAAGTAAGGGTCATTATTGCCTCTCTGCTCTCAGATGTAATATGTCTGCCTATGGAGACCAGAAACACTGATGAGTGACAGCATGACTAGAATTGTCATTGATTGATTTATTTTTTTGAATCACCAGCTGAATTGAAAAGAAAACAAAAAAAAAAAGAGAAAAAAGTGTTTTAACCCAGAGTGAATGATTAAAAATGGCTTTTCACTGAAACAAAATTAAACAAATAAAAAGCCAGCTAAGAAGATGCTGTAGGAAGACAAATTGAGATAGTTTCACTTGTGGGTGGAGGGTAGGGGGCTGTGACACTGTTTTCAAAGTGAGAACTGAAAATGCTTCGAGATTTATTTGCTTTGGTTTTGGTTTAATGGCAAACAAAACCTTTTGGGAGTTGGCTTTGCTTGAAAGAACTTGGAACTCGGTGTTGATTCAGAGGGTTGTGTCCCTCTGGAAATGGCTGGGATGCTACAGGCAGTGTGGTACAGGCAATGCCCTCCAGCACTGATTTCCTCAGGAGATTTCAAGATGTGACCAGGCAAAGACATGATATGCTCATGTAAGAGTGGAGACAGCTTCGAGCAGGTGGTTGGATGGGATGCCTCTGGAGGTCCCTTGCAGCTAACATTTCTGCCACCCCCTTTCTTGCACCACCACAGCCATGCTACAGACTGCTTCTTCCTCATCCTGTCTGCTCTGTGTTCATCTGGGTCTTTGTCCTCCCTTGGGTACCCCAGATGGATGAAGCATTGCCAGTGGCACTTGCCCATTAACCCAGGAGAAAGCTGGCTCCCTGCAGAGGTTACTGCTGGGGCTCTGCAGGCTGTTTCTGAATATACAGCTGAGCCCCACAGCTGTGCCAGCCCAGTAGGCAGGGTTGCACACACGAGTGCCTGGTTCCTCTCTTACAGGCTCCTTGAACCTGCTGGTTCGTGTGAGGAACAAGCGAGCCATCGACACCCAGGTCTGGTCACTCAGTGGGAACAGGGGGAACATGTGGCAGCAAGCACATGTGCCCATCAACCCACCCGGGCCCTTCCAGGTAAGTCAGGTCCACAGCCAAGGAGCCACCTGCTGCCTGTCCTGTCCGTGCGCCACGGGCTGTAGGAGACTTCCCAGCAGAGATCTGCCTTGTGGCACAGGGGCTGGTGGAACACTGGGAGCTCTCCACCCCCAGAGTCACTGGGGCAAGGTAAAAGCTTGGTGGATGCACATAAATCAAATCCACTTCTTGCTGAAGCCACTCAACATTGTTATGTGCAAGCATCAGTTTGGCACTATAAATTTTATGATTATTGCTGGTCTGGAAACTGCTTGTCAAAGAGCTCCTTCTGGCACCAGGTCTGTGTGACAGCTCTGTTGGTGCTGGCCTGTTGGTGTAAAGTGACTTTGAGCATTAGAAGTTTCTTCTACTATGTGCTGCAAGAGCACACCCCCGTTATCATCCTAGTTTAGGACCATAGGACACCTTGTGAATGTGGCAGTCTGTGTCTGCTCATCAAGTGCCTTATGTGTACTCAGGAAGTGGGCTGCTTCATTACTGGATGTTTTATTGCTGATGTTTTTGGCCAACGTGCTACTTTGCTGTTGTAGGGTTGTTTGTGAGAGCTGGGCCTGTGCAAGCTGCTAAGTTGTAGCACTGTGGCAAAATGCCCAGCATGCTTCTGAGTATTTTAAAATAATAATAACAATAATATAGTAACTCTTGCAAGTGCTGTTCAGTACTGGTTGGTTAGTTAGTGCAGCACCCTTAATATAGCACAGCTCTACATGCTCATTTATTACTCCACACTCAGCACACAGGGGTTGGTCCTGTAAGCAGTGGGGTCCATCTCTTCAGATCCTATGAGTACTGGAGAAACAGGAAAGAATCATAAACTCAGGGACCTGGTAAGACCTGGTCTGTGCCCTGCTCACCTCTGCAGAGCCCCACAGCACAAGAAAGGTCCTCCACAGCAGCAGCCTCACACTGGGGTCTGTCCCATGCTCTGCTTACAGATCATCTTCGAAGGTGTCCGGGGCACAAGCTATGAGGGGGACATTGCCATCGATGATGTCACTCTGAAAAAGGGGGACTGCCCAAGGAAGCCAATTGGACCGAATAAGGGTGAGAGTGTGCATGCCTCAGAGGAACCAAGTTGGTGGGAGTGCATACATGAACACATATGCTGGGGATGCACAGCTGATTTCAGAGCACATTGACATGTTGGTGGTACTCAAAAAGAACGTTGACTCCATCAGCAGAAGTCAGCAGAGGGGTGTCAGACCCTTAAACTTGTTCTTTACAGTTGTGAATTAGGAAGAGCTGAGAGGAGCAACCAGATCTTGTAGGGATTGTGCTGCCAGACACCAGCATGCTGAAATCTGCACCTGTTTGTTAGGTTGGAGGTGTCATCCCCAACCCAACACCAGCTGAAGGTTTCTGTAGTTTCTCATTTCCTGGAAACCCTAGGAATGGGAGCTTCCAAAAGGGAAAGACCTTCTGCAGGCTCTACTGGCCTTGAGTCAGTCCTTCTCCAGGAAAAAAACTGCCTTTAGGGGCCTGGAGCCAGGGAGGGCTGGACTTCTTCCCATTGCGCTCTGAGCAGGGAGACACAGCCAGGCAGGGTATTGCCCATGAAAGATGGGAGGAAGCTGCCCGAGATGTATATCACTTCCTTTCCAATCCTGACAGTGAGTATGCCATGGCTTAGACCCAGCCGGTAACCAGCACCATGCAGCCGCTTGCTCACACCCTCTTCTCCCCTCCCGAGAGGAGGAGAAGGAAAATCAGAAGAATGTAAAACCAGCAGGTTGAAATACAAACAGTTTAATAACTGAAGTACAATATAATACTACTACTACTAATGAAAAAGGCAATAACAAGGTGAGAGAATATGAAATTAAAGGGAAAAGGAAAAAAGAAACAATAAACAGCAATGATGCACAATATAATTGCGCACCACCCACTGACCGATACCCAGCCCAACCTGAGCAGCGATCAGTCCCTTCCGGGTGACTCCTCCCATTCACTACTGGGCATGACGTGCTGTGGCATGGGATACCCCTTTGGATAGTTTGGGTTGGGTGTTCTGGCTGTGCTCCCTCCTGGCTTCTCATGCCCTCCTCACTGGCAGAGCATGAGACTGAAAAATCCTTGATCAGGGTAAGTGCTACTTAGCAACAACTTAGCAACAACTAAAACATCAGTGTGTTATCAGCATCGTTTTTAGACTAGAGCTAAATCAATCACAGCACTGCACCAGCGACTAGGAAGAAAATTAGCTGTATCTCATCCCAAAATCAGTGCAGATGCTTAAACTAAATCCCACCTACCCCTTTCCAGTCCATCCACATCATCCTCGTGCAGGCATTGCAGAACCAGAGATAATCCCACCCTCACTGAGGTGCACCATAGGTTGAAGCCACAGCAAGGTGCATAGCAGTATCTAGGCATTAGTCCTTAGGCAGAAATCACTGGTGTGCCTCATGCCTTGGTCCTGCCTATGCCCTCAATAACATGCCTCAGGTGGGCAGGACACCAGGTGTTCAGAGCATGAAAACCAGAGCCAGACAGGCACTTCTGAGCAAAGTTCAATTTGCTCTATTTATTTTTGAAAGAGAAGAGCCTTGTGGAAGAATTTTTATCGACTTTCTTGACTCCAAAGATGAAGGGAAAAACAAAGCATCAAAAAAGTCGGAAGTTTGAAATTTCAGGTTCAGGTAAAGATCTGTTTCAGCCTAGGATGGCCACGCTGTAAGCAAAACACAAGCAGAACCTTTTGTTTGACTCAAGTTGAATCTTCTGGAAAAGAAAGGAGGATTAGATTGCAAAAGTAACTAGGACTCAACCTTTTCTCCCAAACTGGAAGAGAAATAATTTTGGGAAGCCTTGAGAATGTCCAGGGAAGGCTGGAAAGATCTTTCAATATATCTGGGAGGTACTCTGTGGTTCAGGGTGGGAGGAGAGGCAGACACTGCTCCGTGCTGACTTGTTTGATGAGCTTTGGATCTGTCCCATCACTAATTCTTTTTCTCTCTTCTCGACTGGCAGCGGTTGCTCTTCCAGGAAGCGGTGTCCCAGCCCTGCACAGCCCTTGTCTTTGTGGCCCATTGACTTTCTTCCTTTATGTGCTGCTCAGATGATGGCAAGAGAGCGCTCCTGTCTTCAGACCAAGACATTCCTGCTCCTTTCCTACTCAGCCACCTCTGCTCCTCTTCCTCCCCTCCTCACTGGCACACCAAAGTGTCCATATGTTACCAAAGACTTGACAGGCATGACCGTGCGAAGGGATCTGGGTCAGAACTGGAGCACTCCTTGAGAAAGTCATAATGTCTAGAACAAAATATAGAAATAAAGACAAATGTTTTTTAAAAGCACGTGCGCGAGAGTGAGAGAGAAGAAACAAAAATACACAGAAAAGAAGGAAAGACAAAAAATAGGAATGAAGAAATGTGAAGAGCAAATGAAGGAGGAAAACAAACACCCCCATGTTTCCTTGGGAATGTCGGACAGGGCTTCCTCAGGGAAGTGGGAACTTGTTTTAAACAAACAAACAAAAATATATTAAAGCACAAATTTCTACCAGAACAGTTACCTTCTTTACTGCAGAGCCCACAGCTTAGTGGATGATACACCGCAGCACTCCCCTTGTCTCCCCATGCTTTCCCACTGGCTTGGGCTGCCCCACTGCCGGCCTTGACGGTAGGGCAGCAGCCGCCCCTCGTGCTGGTGGCCAGAGCATCTTGCCTTGCACCGCATGTGCTTCCGTGTCGCCATCCATCCTCATCTACCAGGCTCTCATTTGTTTAATTGCCCCCTGTGTGGTTTGCTTTGGCCTTTCCCCACCGCTCCGTGCTTCTCACCCACCAACCTGAAGAAGATGGAGCAGGAAGGGACTCATCACACGGACCATGCTGAGTGGTGGAGAAGTTCCGGCTGGATCCGGCTGCAGCGCTGGCCTCTGAGTGTCTCTTACTCCCTCTCAGCACTCTTGCTGGGTGGAGAAACTATGAGAGCAGATCTGAGCTGCAGACAGAAATGTGTCTCTGTTGGGCTGAGGGATGGGGCAGCGTGGGGTGGGAAGGGGAAAGCATTCCACATTGGCTTCCCCTTGTGAATGTTGGGATGACAGTCGCCTCAGCCCTAAACCCAGAACTGCTTCTCTGCCTGTCTTTTGTTACCTATTTATTTTGGTCTTTTATTCCATCACTTAACTTACCCCATCTCAAGCGTTTTGAATTATGGGAAGAGTCAGGCACTTAAACCTTCAGCCAGACAGCAGGTCCTGTGCCCATGTCGCAGCCCCATGGCCATCAGTGCAGGCAGCTCCAATACTGCCCTCTCACCTTCTGCGGCCTTTTTGCACACACAGTGCATTAGCTGCAGGGTGGGCAGAGTGTGGCAACAGCATTGCTGCTCAGGGAAAAGGTGGCTGGATTTTGTCAGCACATGCAGCCTTGCAGGCACTCAGCTTCCACTGCCAAAGCAGTGGGTAGAGGAGCTGAAAGCTGGAGGCAGGAAGCTTGACCCAAAAGAGAGGCTTCTGCTGAACTGAGAAACAGTGGAGGGATGAGGGAAAATCATTTTTTCCCTGTTGGCATCATGAAAGGTTAAAGCTGGTGTCTCTCTCTGCTGCAGACTTGCAGCAGGTCCGGCCTGACCTCCTCAGGTCCAGATGAACCCCACAGGAGAAGGGACTGCCCTGCACGGGCCAAGTGAGAGCTGTGATAGCCTTGTTGCAACTGGGAGCAGCTCTGGGCACGAATTGCCTCCATGCACAGGGCAGAGTTAGCCCCACAGGACTGTGAATTGGGGTTTACTAGCCACTCTGGCAGTTCAGTAAGTGGGGCTCTTCCCCCTAAAGGACAGCCCATCCAAACTCCATACCTGGGGAACCACAGATAGAGGATGAGCTAGCTCTTTCACTCACCAGAGCCCCCAGTACCCATGGCTCCTTACCCATTTCTGATTAATATATTAGCTTCTCTGAGCCAACTGTGTCTAAAATCACCTGAATGTATTAGCTGTCCCCTGCATTGCTCAGCTTCAAGCAACAGCTGTTGCCCCGTTTCTTCTTCTGATGGGGGAGGAAAGCTCGTATTTAATTCCCAAGAGATCCAGTTTGAAGTCTTGAAACCCATCACTCTCCAGCTCCTGGAAGGGCATTCATGTGCACTAATGCTCCCCAGACATCACTGAAGAGAGAAAGGGCATCAGCTCTGAGGGAAAAGAGGACCTTCACAGGAGGCCTCACAAGACTGTAAGAGGGGGTGATACAGGTCTCCCTTGCTCCTATTGCTTTTCTTCACTTCTAAGGAGGAGGACTGTGTCTTTTTTGTCTCCACCCTCCCCCTCCAGAACCCAGACCTCAATCACACTGCATATTTGACCAGGAGACCTGTAGCTGTGTCCCAGGGCCAGGCAGCATTGTGGGATGCTGTGAGTGTCAGCAGCAATTCTGCTTCTTGCTGCCTGTCTGTTGCCATTTTCATGGGCAGCCAGTGCCACCATCATCTTTTAGCTGAGTTCTTTCAGTTCTGTTCTTTTCTACATGTTTGTTATAGGCCAGAAATCATCACCCCACTCCTGAAAAGAGTCTGCTTTCATTCCTAGGAGAAATGGTGCTTTCCGTGAGACCTTGGATGCTTCATGATAGCTCGTGATCTGTCAGTGGCAAAACATTTGTGCTATGTTGCTGATTCTAGGGCAGAAGGTGGAGACAGGAACATTTCCCCATCAGTAAGAGGTAATCCAGGGCAACCATTCCACCTTCTAGGCTCTGAGGCAGAGACCCTTGTGGCTTTGCTTCTACTGGCTGCTTAGCCAGGGTTGTATAAGCATGTTTTGTTGACGTTTAGGGGGCAGCAGAGAGACTGTGGGGCTGGGGAGGTGCAGCCTGAAGGTTCAGGATCACAGACAAAACATTATCTGTGAGGCAAGCATCAGCCAAGGGGCACCACATTTTCAGAAAGGGACACCTGCAGGGAGGGTGTCCGTGCCCTGCTGCCAGCTCCTGCAAGGAAGGATGTAAGTGCCTCACTAAGCCAACCCATGGCACAGGGGCAGTTGGGTCCAGGGCAGATGAGAACAAGCAGATGGCCCCAGCCAGAGGTGAAGCCTTTTCCTGCTGTAATGCATGGGCCCATCAGCTTCAGTAAAGTCTCAGGGAGCCCCTTCCTGCTTAGACCTCTACTCCTTTATCTCTGGCTAGAAAGCAGCTGGTGGTAAGTTTGGGGGGAAGTCATTAACCCAAGTGCCTCAGCTTCTCAGAAGTGCTGAGGACAAAAGGAAGGACCTCATTTCCCTGGCAGATGTGCTAAGAGAGCGTAGCAGAGGAAAGAGGCACTTGAGCAGCAAGGATGAGAAGTTGTGCAATGATGGGGGAGAGACAGTGTCCCTCCTCTCTGAGGACAGTCGTATTTGTGGTTTACTACCCCATGCTTGATGGGGCAATTCTCCTTGCAGTGGTAATGAATCCCAGGTGAGATATAAAGCCATGCTCCTTACCCCTTGTAATTAAAGATCCCCTCACACTTTTCACAATGTTCTGGCTAAATTATGATCCTTGAACTTAATTACATACTGTCTTCTTAAATATCTGTTGCAGTCCCAACATTATATTTCTCTTCCTGATGTTTTATGTTGTTCTGTGCCTGTCAAATTGCTGCTTTATTCCACCCCAGAAGTGGCTGCATTTCAGTGATGGTGGAGATTATTCCTGTACATAGTATGAAAGTCACTGCAGAAGAAAAGTGCAATATAAATTTAAGAGACTGCTTTTATTTACAAGGAGACTTCTGCTTGGTAGTTGTAGAAATACATTAGGAAGAATGCTCTGTGGGTGTTAGCCAATATATACTCATTTTCTTTCTTTTTTTTTTTCAGGGTATAAACCAGAAAATATGTGAGTGTGCAGGCTCCTGGGTATAAGTTGTAGATATTAGAAGTAGTGAATGCTACTGTGTAGTTACAAGTTGGGCTTACAAAGAAACTTCCATTTGAAAGCTCTTTTTGTAGTTCATTGTATTCTGAAATACATACTTTTTTAATTATAATTTTCCACAGTTCAATGCAAGTCCAAATAACAGGTCGTCAGCAGGACTTTAATCCATGGCTTTTAACCATGTGAACATCAATTCCTCCCCTTTGCTCTGAAAAGCAGCTCCTGCATGGTACCAGTAATAGACTGCTTTTCTTCCACATAGATCAGCCGCTGGAAAGCAACGGAGCTAATATGTTTCATTTGATCTGGAGTTAAGTAATTTGGAACGCCCGAGTGCAACTCTTCCCAGCCGTCCGGGAGTGAAAAAGTATTTCGACTGTATGAAAAACCTCACGTAGTGCACAAACGGCTTGGAAATTCCTAAAGTTAAGTGTTGAGATTAGCATGCATGCAGAGCTGCCCCAGCAGAGCTGCCTGAAAAGCAGCTGTGGCAGCAGTGATATGGAGACCTTCTTCTGGGAAGTAGCTTTCTTCTGGAAAGATATAGAGTGGTAGTCAGGGAAAAGAAAGGGGGGAGAGTCAGATGTTTAGGCTGGTAAATTTCTTGCAGAAATAATTTATAGATGTACGAATGAGTGTAGTAAATATGATACAAATTGTATTTTATTCCCTATTGCTATTCGAAGTATGGAAATTTAATTTCTATATGAAATCCTGTGGGTGCATTATTCAGAATGACATGGAAATGCTTTAATATCAAAGGGAGAGCAGTGTCTGCATTTCTCCTCCTCAGCCCACCCCTATCACTCTGTGTCAGGAAAAGCACATTGCTTTTGGGTTGGTGCCTTGTGCTTCTCAGCCTGGGAGGGACAGTCACTGGGAGCAGCAAGCAGCACTGGTGGGAGAAGCATCCCTCCATCATGCCATCACTTCCCACAGCCCTGTCTCCAGTGTGAAGAAGTCCTGTGCAAGGCCCTGCGGGAGCAAACACTGCTCCCCCCTTAGCTCTCAGGCTGAGGCAGGGAGTTCCACCTGCAGGAAAAGCCAGGGAGTCCTTCACTCTGCCATGAAGGACCCCACCTGCCCCAGGCAGTGGCAAAGGAATGAAGCAACTTTCCCTCCTAGATGGGTTAAATGGTGTCACCTCACTAAAAGACACAAACTTTTTCCTTAAAGCAGAGAGTTCAGGGAGTTGCTGCTTCAGAGTGCTGCTGTTTCAGTCCCCTTTGTCTGTGGGAGCCCTGCGTATATCCATCTTTCCCTGGAAATGCTACAGCACCCCTTTGCCTTCCGGGTGCCTTTGGACCACCTTGTAACAGCATGGAGGGACACATCACTGTGGGCTCTGTGCTTTGAGCTGGGTGCAGTGGGACACAGTAGCACAGTAACACCCAGCTCTCGCACCCGGGGGGCAGGATCCTGGTTTTAGTGAGGATGAGAAATTGCATTCTATCTCCTATGCAAAAGAGAAGCCATTTCACACTCTGGGCTTTGGCAGAGACCAGCCTTGGTCCCTCTCTCTTTTTCCATTGAACTGCTCTGACACTTTGTCTTTTCCAGGATGCCCCCAGTGCAGGCGCAACCCTGCTTGTAGAGACAACAGGCATACAGCAGCAGGACCCTGTGCAGGCTGCAGGAGAAGCCA